TACACCTACGGAAAGAGACGATGGAAAAGCTCCATATCATCAGTGAAAACAAGGCCAGCGGCAGACTGTGGAACAGACCATCGATTACTCATATGTAAATTCAAATTGAAGCTGAAAAAAATGAAAACAAGTCCATGAGAGCCAAATATGACCTTGAATATGTCCTACTTGAATTTAGAGATCATCTGAAGAACACATTTGATACATTAAGCATTAAAGACAGAAGACCAGAAGAGTGTGGGATGACATCAAGGTAGAAAGCAAAAAGTCATTAAAGCTTCTCTGGGCACATTATTGAATGATGTAGAAAGCATCATGAGAAGATGGAAGAAAAAAAAAAAACACAACACAAGACAAGATGGAAGGAATACACAGCGTCACTGTACCAAAAGGAAATAGTTCATGTTCAACCATTTCAAGAGGTATCTTATGATCAAGAGCAAATGATACTGAAGGAGGAAGTCCAAGGGGCATCGAAGGAATTGGCAAAGAACAAGGCACCAGGAATTGATGGAATAAAAATTGAAGTCATTCAATAAAGTGAGACGGCACAGGAGGCACTCACTCATCTCTGCCATGAAATTTGCAAGACAACTATCTGGCCGACTGATTGGATGAGATCCATATTTGTGCCATTCCAAAGAGAGGTGACCCAATGGAATGCGGAAATCATCAATCTCTTTGATAGCCCATGCCAGTAAAGTTTTACAAAAGGTAATACAGAAACGGCTGCAAGCATACATTGACAGAGAACTTCCAGAGGCTCAAGCCGGATTCAGAAGAGGCTGTGGAACAAGGGATATCATTGATGATGTCTGATGGATCTTGGCTGAAAGCAGAGAATATCAGAAATATGTTTACCTGTGCTTTATTGACTACACAAAGACTTTTGAGTGTGTGGCTCATGACAAGCTATGGACAACATTGCGAAGTGTGAGTATTCCGAAACACTTAATTGTGCTCATGTGGAATCTGTACCTGGACCAAGAGGCAGTTGTTCAAACAGAACAACTGAATGGTTTAAAATTAAGAAAGGTGTGTGACTAGGTTGTATTATTTCACTGTAATTATTCAACCTGTATGCTGAGCAAATAATCCGAGAAGCTGGGTTATATAAAGAAAAACGTGGCATCAGTATTGGAGGAAGACTCATGGAGGTAGTAGCTCAAAATACCAATAGAGAGGGGAGGAGTCATCCCCTCTGTATACAGGGCAGATAGGGACAGGAAACGTAGACATAGGCTACCTAAAATGAAGGGGTAATAAAGGCTTGAAATGACTAGCTTACAAGGTTTCAAGAGGGATTCTAGTTTAAGAGTGTGTGGGGGCAGATAGAGTCCCCACTGAATAGTTTTCATCTTGTCTAGCTGGTTCTGGTAAAAAGAGATGGGGATAAGATTCCTATGATTCAATAGTGAGCAATTGTTATCATTACTAATTGCAGCTGCCAGAATTCTAAAGGTAGAAGTTTTGTAACTAAAAAGGGGGAGTATTTAACAAAATAGAGGACCCTAGGACCATCAAGGGGGAAGAGCACAAGCAGAATGTGAGAAGCAGCGATACCAGAGATGGAGGCAGAGATGGGGATATGGAGAAAGGGAGCAGTTGGGGACTCTTGATTCATGGGGAGAGAGGAACTGAGAGCTGGTGGCCAGGAGGTAGACTTGCATAATATACCCTTTGGTGTTGTAGATTATTATATATGCCTGAGTGTTTAAAAAATAAAAAGAGCTAAAATTAATAGAGAGAAACACTGTTAACTGATGGTACATGGAGGGGATTATAATCATTGTAATGAAACAAGTTGTATAATTTGTTGAATGTAAAACTGATGATATGACCTGTAAACGTTCACTCAACTCACAATAAAAATTAAAAAAAAAAAAAAATTCAGGTGGGCTATATTCAAGGTCCTGATGTGGTGCTATAGGAGTAAAGCACTGGACTGCAAGGTCAGTTAGAACCACAAGGTCGTTGGTTCAATCTCACTAGCCACTCCTTGGAAACCCTATACAGGGTCGTTGCGAGTTGGAATTGACTCAATGGCATTTAACAAGAAAAACATTCAAAGTCCTATTTTGACTCTCATGGAGTTATTTTAATTGTCTTCATCTTCAGTTTGAACTTGCATTAAAGCAATTGATGGTGTGTTCCAGACAGCCCCTGGCCTTGTTTAAACTGATGATACTGAGCTTCTCTGTCGTCTCATTCTACAGATGTAGTCAATTTGATTCCTGTGTATTCCATCCATAGAGGTCCATATGCATAGTCACTGTTCATGCTGTTGAAAAAGGTATTTTCAATAAATAAGTAGTTGGTCTCACCAAATAGTATCATGCAATCTCTGGAATTGTTTGTATCCCATAATCCATATTTTGGAGTCCTAGTGTGGTGCTATGGGTTAATGATCCAGACTGCAAAACCATTTGAACTGCAAGGTTTCATTTCAAGCTCACCAGCTGCTCCTCAGAAAGCTTATACAGGGTCGCTATAGGTCGGAATTGACTCAACGGCACTTAAAAACAACAACAACAACAAGCCATACTTTGCAACTACTGATTTTCTTTGTTTCTATCACTTGCGTTCAAATCACCAGCAATTATCAATGCACCTGGATTTCATATTTCAGCAATTTAAGACTACAGAAGTTGATAAAAATTTTCAATTTCTTCATCTTTGGCAACAGTATTTGAGTGTAAAATTGAATAACAGTATCAACTGGTCTTCCTTATGGCTATCTAGACATTATCCTGTTACTGACAGTGTTGTACTTCAGGATAGATCTTGAAATGTTGTTTTTGACGATAAGCGTCTTTAATTTGCCATTCCCCACATAGTAGACCATATGACTGTCCTATTCAAATGGCATTCACTAGTCCATTTCAATCTAGAATATTGATCTTTATGCATTCCATTTCATTTTTTGATAATTTGCTGTTTTCCTATCATCGAATTTTGTATACTCTATATTGAAATTATTAATAGGTCTTTGAAGCTGTTTCTTTTCATTTCTACCTCCCAGGATATAAGATCTTCAGCAGTACCAGAATCCAGGATTTCGATACTGTACCCTCATAATGGTGTCAGATACTGCAGATTAGATCCTAGAGGTCATGGAAACTTCACAAGGTACAGAACTGTGGGAAAAAGCTTAACAACAAATTGTTGTAGTCATCTCAATTCTGACTCACAGTGACCCCATGTATATCAGAGTAGAACTGCACTTCATATGATTTTCAATGATGTTGATGTTTCAGATATCGGTCCCCAGGCCTTTCTTCTGAGGTACCCTGGTAGCTGCTTCTGACGCAGTCGAGCACTACGCAGTGACTCAGTGGAAGATGAAGAAGATTAGAGAAAAGAATGGAACTCCTGTCAGGTAAATCCTCTATGAACCTGAATGGGGAGGAATGGATCCCTCCAAGCAGTAAGATCCATTCCCCTCCCTGACACACATCTCCCAGGACAATAAATACAACTTCGAGGGGAATGTTGTTGAGCATTCCTTAATATAAGAGCAACCATTTGAATAATGTCTTAAAGATGAATAGGCAGAGGAGAAAGAGATCCGAGGATGATGAAGTCATTTAAGTAGATGGAAGGAACCAAAAGGCAAGGTGGTATAGAATAGACAGCCACCTGCCCCAATGCCAATATGAGAAGGGTACCACTGTCAAGCCCAGTCTTAGGTGAGCATCCCTGCACATGGCACCTGAGAGAGGCCACACTCACCTGTAAGTCCCAGCAGCAGAGGCAGTAGCAAGGAAGACAGAGGCAGGTGGTGCTGGGGTGCAGGGACGGACATCGTGGTTGTCCCTGGAGCTTGCTGGGTGCCAGTGTTGCACTGGGAGGGCCAGGACTTGGCTCTGTGGAGACAGAGGCGGTGTTTTAATCTGTGATGTCAACGGAAGTAACATTGATGTGAGGAAAGGGCTGTGGGATTCTGACAGTTCCTTCTTCTAGATTGTGTAACAGGAACCAGACATATCTAAGAGGTTACTGAAGTAAGGGTTCTAATGAAAAAAGATACTTGGCATCGTTATGGCCAACTCCTTCAGTGCCCAGCCTCTGTCCCCTGTGCCCTACATGCCTCCTCAGGGACTCTGGTAGTCATTTCACATCCAGAAGCCTGGAGAGCTGAGCTGGGTGAAGGTTTCTGCCACACAACATTGTGACGGTGAAGTCTGTATTCAGTCTCCTGTACCAGCCCAATATGTGGGTTCAGATGCATTGTCCAGTTAGAGTCAGGAGGAAACTCCACTTCAGTACTGCACTTTAAAGGAAGTCTCAGTGGATGGGAGGCTTGTTTCCTTACTCTAGTACTGGGAGTTCTTACTTTCTGCTTTCTGAAGGAGAAAGAGCTTTGGTTGAGCATTGGTAGTTAGGCTGTGGTTGAGAGCTGTGGTTTCTGATTTAGAGAATGGAGAATGCTTTTGGTGGGAGGAGGAGGAAGAGCAGCAGACCCAAAAACACAGTTAGGAGGAGAGGTATCTTTCCTGTCTGCCCCTCAGTCTGGAGCCAGCACAGGGAGTGTGGCCACAAGGAAAAATGCCTTCACCAAGAATGTGCCTCGTGGGCTGGCTTGCTGAATTTGTCCTGTGGACATTTAAATGAATATATCTTTTTTGTTTTGTATGTGTGCATCAAAATTTTTGCTTTGTTCATTTGTGAAATATAAGATGCAAAGGGGAATGAGAGGGAGGCAATTGGATGACTGTTGCTGCAGGGAGGGGATTGTGCTGTGGTGTCAGCTGACAGCCAGCGTCCATCCATCAACACCTATACAGAAGCTTCCAGATGATTCTAGATCACAGCAGCCTGGTCATTCTAGGTGAGTCTTCCCAGCTGAGGTCTCAGATCATACACTGCAGAGACAAGCTCTTCTTGTTGTGTCTGTCAGAATTCCTCACACACAACATCAGTGAACTAATAAATGGGTGGGTTAGGACCTCTGTACAGATTCAGAAAACAAACCTGAGCTGCAGGTGTTGGTAGTTAGACAACATGGAAAGGAGTAGGATGCATGAGAACTTAGACATGAGGATGGGGCTCAGGTCCCCTTGTTCCCTTCCTAGGGAGGTAGGATGAGCCCCAGTTCTAATGAGCTGTTGTTCTGACACCTGTGATAGGAAGAAGAGGTTGGGAGGCCATCAGTCAGCAATATGAGGCCTTTAAAGGGCCCTGCACCGTATTTCTTCTTGCTCAGTCAAGCTGCCCAGGAAGGAAGGAATCAGCAGAGACTGAAGTTTCCACAGCACATGGAAGGGAGTTGGTGTGTGGAAGCACGTCATACAGCTATGCACATACTCATCCCTTGTTTACCATTTATCTGCACTCATGATCAGACTGAGAGGAAAAAGGAGAGGACACCCAGCCCCTCTCCAGGGTTTTACTCCCCTCTACTGACCCTCAAATGCCTCTTGCAAGTCCTTGATCAAACCCCATTTCCCCCATTACTGCCTCTGAGATGGAGCTTCTTAGAATATATCAGGAGATTATTGTGGAAGGGAGGTCCCTGGGTGTGCAAACAATTCGCATTCAGCTACTAAAGAAAAGGCTTGTGGTTTGAACCATGGTGCCCATGAAGAAAAGCCTCGTGATGTGCTTCTATAAAGATTATAGCCAAACCCTATGGAGCTGTTCTACTTTGTAACATATGGTGTTGTCATATGTCTGAATACATACAAGGGCAACTTTTTTGCCCCCTTGGAGGGGAAATAGGCAAATATGTGTGACTCTTTAACCTCCAGATGAAAGTTGGCACCATATGACCTTGTGGGCCCTTCCTGAACTGACCCCTTCTCCTTCCTTTCACCTGGTCTCAGGATAGGCTGCGACCATCACCTCATCCTACCTCCTTGAGGTCACAGTCTCCTTTCATGTTGAACTGACATTGTACTCATTCTGCTGCCCTCTATATCAGAACTACCTTGTGGTCTAGCAGGAGAAGAACACAGAGACAGATGGGCAAGAATAACTTGGGAACGCATCCTACATGCTTAGGTCAAAAAGGTCAAAAGATCCAACCACTGACAACTTTTCTTGCTGCTATGTGACCCTGCCCAGGTCAGCCCCCATTTGCATCCCATATTGCTGTGTTGGGCCTGATTTATGCTAAAGGTAGAGTAATCACAATCATTTAATTTTCTTGATATCCCTCCTTTGAAAGGAGCTCTGGTACCATAGTGGGTTATAAGGTGGGTGGCTAACTAAAGGGTCAGTAGTCTGGATCTGCCAGCTGCTCTGCGGTAAGAAGATGAAGCTTTCTGTTACTATAGAGATTGATGGCCTGGAAACCATATTCAGAGACCCTGTGAGATGAAATGGACTTCATGACCCATTACCACCACCACTGCCAACTCCTGTGGAGTCCTGGTGTGCAGCTGAAGAATTAGCACTGGACTGCTAACCA